TTTGCTGTTGGGAGTTAATTGCAACAATGGTTTTGGGAAAAAATCTGGCATTATCTGGTGAAATTGAAGATGCACATACCTATGATCCAGCAATCTCGCTCCTAAAAGGATAATGCCCCAAAGAAACTCTTGTACATGTGTTCCAGGGACATGTACAAGAATGTTCAGTGCAGTCTGAGGAACAACCAAAATGTCCATCAACAGAATGGATAAACCAGTTGCGATATACAGTGGAATACAAATCATAAGTGAAAATGAGTGAAACCACAGCTACAGATACCAAGAGGGAAGATTCTCACCAACATAATGCTGACAGAAAGAAGCGAGTTGCAAAGAATACGTACAACATGGTGCCATTTATATAAAGTTTTCAAAAGCATGGAAAACTAAGCAATATGGGAATGTACACAAATATATGTCATAAGCCCACTGAAAAGAAAGCAAGGGAATTATTATTCAAAATTCAGCGCAGTGGTTTTCTCAGGGTAGAGGAATGTGGGGTGTGGGGTGCAGCTCTGGGGGGGGACTTCAACAGCATTGCCAAGTTTTATTACTTAAGTTGACTAGTAGGCTCATTTTATTACTTTTCTTTATACTTTACCTGTATGCTGCACGTATTCTTTAGCAGTTTTCAAAAGCTCCCTTGCGCCTGTTGTAGTCACTTTCCTCCTCCCCAACACCTCCAGTCCCGGGCAAGCGCTGATCTGCTCTCAGTCCTACAGTTTTGCCTTTTCCAGGATGTCGTATAATTGGACTCACTCGGCATGTCCAGCTTCTTTCATTTAGCGTAATACTTTTGAGATTCATCCATGTGTTGCCTGTATCAGTAGTTTGGTCCTTTTTATTGTCAAGTAGTATTTCATTATATGAATATATCACAATCTGTTTAACCATTCACCAGTTGGATATTTAGGCTGTTTCTAGTTCGTAACTATTACCAGTAACACTATTATGAGCCTCTGAGTACAAGTCACTGTGTGAACATGTGTCTTATTTCTATTGGGTGAATACCTACGACTGATGGTATGCGCATATTTAACTTTATAAGAAACAGCTGAACTGTTGCCCACAGTGGTTGTCCCATTTTGCATTACCACCAGAAGTGTATGACAATTGTTTTTTTAAACAAACGAACAAACAAGAAGTTTGTGGTATCTTTTTAATACAGAACTTTAAAATTATAACATAATCAGATATATCAATCTTTTTCTTTATGGTTGGTACTTTAGGGTATTTATGAAATCTTCCATCACCTGGTTCTTCATATTATGACTCTTCTATTAGTAATTTCTCCTGAGAAGATTATTACATTTTTTTCTTCAGAAAGGTCTTTTATGACATTCCCACATAGCAAATTATAGGCAATATATACTAAATTTTCTATGTCACCTAATACAGCATTTGTTGTCATTATAGAATAATGTGACATGAGATTGAGGGTGAGAGCGTGAAGTACACAATTAAGCAAACTCTTTCTGTAAGGGGCCAGATGGTAAATATTTTGGGGCCTTTCAGGCCATACAGTCTGTGTCACAACCACTCAACTCTTCTGTGGTAATGCAAAAGCAGTGGCCGACAATATTTAAATGAATGGGTGTGGCTGTGTTCCAATAAACCTTTATTTATGGACACTGAAATTTGAATTTTATGTAATTTTTGTTTCACAAAATAGTAGTCTTCTTTCAATTTTTTCCCCATCCATTAAAAAAATATAAAAACCATAATTACCTTGTGTGTTACACAAATACAGGGACAGGGCTGGCTTTGGCTGGTAAACTGAAGTTTGCTGACCCCTGATTTAGGATATAATCCTCTTGACGTTTCTGTAAAGAAACTGGGTAGGATTTTCCACCCCCATTTCGCACAGTACAGCATTAGAACCCAAAGAGACTTCAGAGTTGATCCAGTTCCATTGCCCTACATCTATCAGTGAGGAGGTTGGGTGCAGAGAGGGGACACGACTGGCTCCCATGCCAGCTGGAGCTCATGTCTCTGGATTTAAGTCCCACCTACCTTCCTCTACTCAATTCCAAAATCGAATTTTAAAACTACACCCACAGCTATAAAACCCTTCTGCCACATTCTCCTCAGCAGCTAATCATTTTTCATCCTAAAGAAATTTATGTTAATAAATCTTAAAATTAAGGATTCATTAAGCTCAAGTCTTGATAGTTCCTTTGTATCATTAAAACCTGTACGATACAATTAATAGTGTCAATTACATTGTAAATTCAAGACGTTTTGGTTTTTTTGTTGTTGTGGTTTTGGTGGTTGGCCAGTACAGGGATCCCAACCCTTAACCTTGGTGGTGTTAGCACCACGCTCTCCCAAGTGACAAGAGACATTTTGATTAGTGAGATGACATCTTGATATTTGTGGGAAAATTATACATAGAATGAAAATCGGTTAAATAGTAAAATACTATTAAGTCTCCCAAATTCCAAAAAGCCTATGGAACAGCTCCAAAGCGAATTTATTCTAGAATTTCAAGGACAAAAGGAATGGCAGTTCTTTTACAGACAGAAGAGGAACTGCTCCTGCAGATGAAGCTGAGGCCAGTGGGGATGGCCAAGACTGGGGGGGGAGGTCAGAGACGAGCACTGTCACTACAGTGACGCATGTGCAGTGACACATTGCATTAGACTGGAATCCAAGCTCCATGACAGCAGAGTCCTTGTCTCTTGTCACCTCTGTGTCCTCTCCTAGACCAGAGCCTAGGACATATCGGTGCTCAGTAAACAGTGCATGGTTGAATGATCAAAATAGGTCTGAAGGGGTGATTCCTGGAAGCTGACCTCTGAATTTTTAGGGTACCTATTCTACCAGCATTGAAACCATTCTCTGAAAAAAACTTCAGAGCATTTTCCCCCACCAGGATCTCTGTCAGGAGGGGTTCACCTTCACCCCCTGGATGACTATCTTATCTGCCCTGAGCCTGTCACTTGGGTTTGGAGATGCTATATATTCTGGATGTCATGAATGCATAGAACGTATTACCCTCTAAACTGTCAAACAACTGAAAATTCAACAAGGGCAACTAATGTTCATGAATGAGTCAGGAGCGTTTAAAATGCAAACACTTACAAAAAGTTCTAGGAATAAGAAATTCCCAGAATAATTTATTACCTGCACATTTCAATTTTCTTTGGAAGTTCTAATTCTCGGCAAACATTTATCAAGTCATCCCACTATCTTTTAGTTGATTTCCCCCATTTTACAGAGAGCTATTCAGCAGAAGTTACATGACTTGTTGCTGGGGTCACAAGGAGAATATAAATCTAAGTGATTATCTGTTTCAGCCCTCTCTCCTGCCATTCATTACACTGAAATTGAGGGAGGCTTGATGAGGATTTCAACCTGCTCCCTTGGTGATTGACTGTGTATTTGCTGCTCTTTGCTACCCCCTGTTGACAAGAGATGAGAAGAGCAAATCTCAAGACCAATATTTCTCAGGTCCTGGGACTAGCAGTGTCAGGATCACCCGGGAACTTGTTAGAAATCCATTATTATGGGGCTCCACCCCAGAACACTGAATTAGGGACTCTGGGGGTGGGGCGCAGCAATCCGTGTTTTAACAAACCTCCAGCAACTTGAAATTACTTTTCTGCTTTAGCTACTAAACCAAATCCTGACCTCCTAGTCATCGTAAAAATGATAAAGCCTCTCCACACTGCTTCTGTCCTCAGGCCTCACGTGTAGTTTATACATACTATGCCATATACAAAGTGCTTTCATGTCCATTCATTCTTGCAGACGGATTTGCGGCAACGCTGTGAAGAAAGGCAGGGAGGAACTACATACCCATTTCACAGATGAGGAGACAGAAAGGAAAGGCTCAAGAAAGGTCAAATAACTTGCCCAGGGTTACTCAGCTCTAAGTGGCAAGGATGGATTCAAATCCAAGTCTTCTCTCTTTACATCCATGCCCAGTGCTACTCCAATTACTTTACAGCAGGGTTCTGACATTTCTAGTCAGAAATTCTTTGTTGTGGGATGCTATCCTGTAGACTGTAGGATATTCAGCAACTTCCCTAGGAAGGTAGATGCCAGTAGCCTCCTGCCCTAGTTGTGACAACCACAAATGTCTCCAAACATTGCCAAATGTTCCCTGGGGAGCAAAATCCCCCGTGGTTGAGAACCACTGCCCTAGAGACATCACATACATGTGGAAAAATCTCACAACTCCTGTTCTACAAATTTTGCATTATATGGCGGAAATTTCAGAACAAATAGCTTCTTTTTAACTTCTAGGCCATCTAGAAAGTGAAGGAACTATGCAAAATGTTGCTCACCACAGTAGTTTCACTACCCCTTAAGAAAATTAACAATAATTCTATGATATCATCTGGTATCCAGTGTGTATTCAAATTACCTCCATTGTCCCAAAAGTATCTTTCATAGCTAGTTTTTTTTTCCAAGCAAGGATCTAATCTAGATTCTCAAGTTGCATTTCGTTGCTATGTTTCTTTAGTCTATATTAGTATTAGAACAGGCAAGCTATGTCCCATGGGCTGAGTCTAGACTGCCACCTGTTTTTGTAAATACATTTTACAAAGAACACAGCCATGCTCTTTCATTTATGCAAGGTCTATGGTTGTTTTCACACCACAATGGCAGAGTTGAACGGTCATGACAGAGACTGTATGGTCCATACTGCCTAAAATAGTTACTACCTGGCCCCTTATGGAAAAAGTTTGTTGACCTTGTGGCCTAGAATTCTAACCCCCTCTCTGGCTTTACTTTTAATATGATACTGATGGTTCAGAGTCCAGGACAATTGCTTATAGAAAACCTCTTATTTTAGATTGACCTAATTATATACATTTAAGTATTAAACTTGTAACTGAATTTTTGCATACATATACATATAGTTTAAAATAGAAAATATTTATGAGATTATCATTGCCCTGTGGGGTAGTGTTAAACTTCTTACCTGCCAAAAACTGCAAATGAAATTGGAAGGCAAACAATAAATTGTAAAAATAATTACAATATCAAGGTCCTGTCTCTTCCCACACTTTATTTTTCAGGAAGGAAAGAAAAAGAATGTTAAGTCTAACATATGGTAGATGGTTTTAGTTACAAATAGAGGTAAATTCCTTACTCATCAAGTTTCCATATCATTTAAATAGAGAAATTGGTAGGAAAACCAGGGGCCTCCTTCTTTGGAAAATCATAATACATGATTTCAAATGTGAGCGCCAGAGTGTACAGAAATTCAGATATTTACACAAGAGTGTCAACTCTGAGTGCAGGGGTCACATACTTAGCATGGAAGTGCTGAATACATGTCCGATGAATAAAAGAATGAATGAATATCATTCCTTCACTCACCTGGGCAAGGCAGGCTGTCGCAAAACACTCAACTATTTATTAGATTAGTATTTATCTGGGTGTAACAAGCATGAGCATCATGCTAAAGGCTTGGGTGTGTTGTTTTTCTGTCAGGAGCTCACTCACGTTCATTGAAATAGGATCCGGTTAGCCTGGAACATGGTCTTAAGGATAGGACTACCTGGGTTTTACACATATGGTTATAAGGGAAAGCTAGAAAATGTCCAGTCTCTCTTAGCAATTAACCTGGGTCAGACTCTAAAAGACAGTATTTTCTCCCCCTACTCTTGGGACACAGTATGTCTATCCTACTAATCACCTAAGCCATTATAAGTGAAAAATAAAAAATAAAGAAAGGCAGCGCTGCTAAGTTGTTTGATCAGTTACACAAATGGTTGTGGATGCACGCAGTATGATCCCTCACCACCTCTCTAAAAAGCCATTTAACCTATAAAGTAAGTTCAACCTCCCTAAACCAAAATATATTTTTACAATAATCTTTCAGGAAAAAAAGTTAATAGTCACCCACTCCAGCACAGCTCACATAAATGGCACTGAAGAGTGAGCTTGGTCAGAAATAAAGATGAAATTTAAAGAATTCCTGGTTGGTTCTTGAGCAGTGGGTCCTTCTCCTGGTTTCCCGGGAAGAACACGGCCTTTGCATGGTTGAGGAAAACATTCAGGCCTTTGCCTTTGGCCACATTCCCAGCACTATTTTCTATTGGTTTGTAAGTCTTGTGTTTTCTGAAAACAATGTATTGAACAGTTATTAAAAAAAGATCGTTGGCTGAAATATATTACTTTTACAATCTTTTTCATGCCATGTGCAAAAGGGTTAATTCCATTTAACCTAATCCATGGCTTTATTAGACACTGGTGTCTTATGAAAATATATTTATTCTCTCTTCTTTATACAAGAAATGTGCCAGGTTACTATAATTTGAGATTACAGGTTAAACATTAGGTAGAGTCAGTTACTGACATCTAGTAGCATTTTTAGGATTAAAAAAACCCACAGCAGAATTAAGAGGCCAGTTTGGTATTCATTGTTCGGTGGAAGATTTTCCTCCCATGCACAAATGTTTACAGGCAAAAAAAGGGAAAAGGGCATATTTGCGCAGAAACTTGCTATTGACTTTTGACAATGTACTATAGCGATGTAAAGTGTTAGAACCACAAACTTACTTGTACACCAAGAGGGTGATCACAGTGACAAATACAGCCAAGCAGCCAATGGAGATCAGGGCACCACCAGCCATTCTTAAAGGGGACGCTGGGTCTTAAAACAGAAGCGAGACCATGTTAGTTACTCCTCCACCTAGAGGGCACGCTGCTTGTCGTGCCATTAAATGAATGAGGAAGGGAGCTATCACAGAAGATATACGGCTCCCTCTGGACTTTCAGTAATCCTTTCCATTACGTAATACACAGTCCCTGGGTCAGCTTATCTTCCACTTAGAGAATGAGTCAGCATGTCTGGAACACTGTGTCAAGGGCACAGAGAGTCCTGGAGACACCTGTTCAGGTCTCCCCTGACCCAGCAGCGCCCACATGGTGAAGACTTCCGTGATCAGCCTGTACAGCCTCTGGCCTCATCTTTCGCTACCTGCCTTTCAGCTGTGCGAAAACTCCTGGGAATTACCCGTGATCCCCATGCTCTTTCAAACCTCCAGACCCCCTGCCGGGAATGTCCTTCCCGTGGCTCATCCCAAGTGTGCACTCCTTTGCCATGCCTTCCAGACATCCCTGAGGGCACTGGACCCATCCTTTCTTGGTCACCACTCTGCTTGCCTCTCCTCTGTGCCTCGATCACATTGTGTTGCAATTATTCCTTTACACATATTTCTCTCCTACTAGCCTGTGAGAGCCATAAAAGCGGGAATTAGGTCTTTGCTCTACTCCCAGATCCCAGCAAATCAACTAGTTCTATCTCTATAACTGGAGTTTATTTTTCCTCCATCTCCTCTGCCACCATTGCAGTCCCTGCCACCAGCCCTCTCCCCTGAGAGGACCTCTTAATTGTCTACTTGCTTCCATTCTTAACCTCCAACGATCCTTTCTCCACTTAACAGTCAGATCATGCTTCAATCAAAGCATCAGTCAGATCACGCTTCAACTCTGCCAGTGGCTCCTCCTTGCACATAAAATAAAACTCAGACTCTAACCATGGCTTGCAAGGATCTAAATGTGCTGCTCATTCTTGTAATTCAGATCCCAGCTCTGTGGAGGCTCTTTACCATGTGGGTGCCACTGGGTAGCCCTGACTTTTCCTGACCTTCCAATCTAGACAGCCAACCTCCTCTGTCTTTGCCTCCACCTCCCATCATTACTCTCCAGCCCTGACCTTGTGTTATTTTCTGCACAATACCATCTTCTTTGTTTATTCTCTGTGTTAAACTAAATAAGCAGGAGACCATTGGCCTCAGGCTGTCTTCGTATTTTGAGTTCCTACCTAACAAACCACAGGTTAACTTAGTAGGTAAGCAAACCAAAACCTAATTTAGGAGTATATTTTGTAACAAACAGCTAAGTTTCAGCCAATCACAAGCAGCTGAGCTACGGCCAATCGCAGCCAACTGATTGCACCTTGTCCAAACAAGGCAAATACCGAGCTGTGGCCAGTCAGGTGATTCCTCTACATTGCTTCCTGTGCAGCCTAGAAAAGCTGCCTGCTCAAGGGTGCAGCTTGCTGAACCGCTTCTAGTTCTGAGTATTGCACCATTCTTTGCTTAAATAAGCTGTTAAATTTAATTTGCCTAAAGTTTTTCTTTTAACATCTGTCACTGCTCACAAAAGCAGGGACCTTCTTTGTCTTGTTCCCTCTGCTATCTAGAACTGTCTTGTGCTGGGCACAGAGTAGATGCTCAATGAATGTTTGAAAGAATGGCAGGTGCCTCATGAACGTTTATTGAATCAGTACGTACTACAGAAAGAATTAAAGGAAAACAAATATCTAAACATCTAATCCACACAAGATACCTGTGTTTTGCCAGCACTGAGGAAGCTGAATAGATTGAGTTATGACTCTAATGGTCATTCTAAAAAAGGTGGAGCTGTGGCAGCACTAGAAGAATAACCTCAGTAGCTCCTGGAGGTGACTACATTGAAGATCAATGGTCACTCGGATGCAGAGGTTCCTGTTGCCTCATTCCATCCCTGACCTCCCCAGCTTCCCACCAGGACCCACCCACCCTACCCTATAGAAAGCAGGATTCCCTTCTATCCTTGTTTTTTGTTTTTAAATCTGCACCTTGGATCTCACCAACAATAAGCCCTCATACAAATAATTACGTGTATGATTACTTGAACATTTCTTTCAATGGGGTTAAAGCTGCCCTCTATATGGTTAATGAATAGATATATGTTTAAGTACATTTTATCTTTTGAGATAGGTTCCAAGTCCAAAGAGTTATAAGTAAATTAGTCAGATTGTACCTGGCAATACTCAAATTAAGGAAGAAAATGTGCTGTAATGTGTGCACAATTTTATCTTTTTTTTTTTTGCATTTCACCATGTAGCACTTATCCTAAGACATAAAGAAGTATCATACAACAAAGTTGGTTATAACTGAAATTCAGGTAGGGTCACCAGGTAGATCCTTAATTTGGCGATGGGGAAAATTGGATGCCAGAATTAAACGCAAATTTCTAAGTAAAATTTTTAAGTCTACTTTGTTAACATTCTAGCTCTCCAAGCATTGGGAGGGCAAAGAGTAGTTTTTCTGCTGAACATCTGAAGAATAGGTAAGTTGGTTTGTTACCATCTGAGTGTAATGCTTGGTAGATTTGGGAAGGGAAAGAGGAAACACATGACAAGTTAGAAAGGAGCTAGGAGTCCACTTGGCTTCTCATTTCTCCTCTTGGCTTCATATTTTTGCCCAGGTGGATTCCCATGAAAACACACCATCACCTTCTCTTTTGTTATCACTCCATTGGGGAGCATTGTTATTTTTTGATGTTGGGTTTTACATTTTCCCCTTGAAATACAAGTCTGTTCGAGCATGTAGTCATCATATCCCATTATTACTGGTCCATGATCACAGCTGATTTTTTTCATCAAGAGGCTTTTTTTTTTTGGGGCCTCTATTTTATTGGGTCTCTCTCTCTCTCTCATCACTTCCCTAAATAGATTTGCTATTGCATTTTAATGCCAGTTCTCAAATCCTTATAAACAAGAGCTCAATGAATTTTGCACTAAAATAAAATTAAACATTGATAGCAAAGCCCTGAATAGCTTTAGTATTGGGCACAC